AGAGAGAGAGAGAGAGAGAGAGAGGATAGAAGAGAGAGGAGAGAGGAGCGAGGAGAGGGGAGAAGGGAGAGGGGAGAGGGGAGAGAGGAGAGAGAAGAGAGAAGAGAGAGAGAAGAAAGAGAGTTGTTCCATTTATTTATGCATTCATTGGCTGCTTCTTGTATGTACCCTGACTGAGGATTGAACCCACAACCTTGGTGTATTGGGACAAGGCTCTAACCAACTGAGCTACCCGGCCAGGGCCAGCAGGCTCTTTTCTCTTGGGCATTCCAGGAGAGTTTCTCTGAGAAGGTGGCACTTGAGCAGAGACTTAAATGAAATGAGGGAATAAAACCTAGGATGATCCAGAAAGAATAACAGACCTACCTGGGAGAGTTATTGGTAGGATGAAACGATGTAAGGATAGAAAATCCAGCACCTGGCATATAGCAAGCACTCCATAAATGTGGCTGTTATAATTATTATTATTAGCAGCTATAAGGAACGTCTGGATAAAATACATGAGAACGTGAGCTCATTACATCCCCTTCATTTGGGGGGAGGTTATGACACATCACAGCTTGGGAGCTCACACCTTCTGGAATCTACACGTATAACTGATTAAAAGCAAATTTCAACCTGGCCTAGGATCCCAAGGCACTGGCAGGCAACCATAATGAAGGAAATCAAAACTCCAGGCTCAGTGCGCCAAGTGCGGTTTCCCACCACCCAGCTCCCATCCAGCTGATTCAATTACTTGAACTACGAGCTTCCTGGCCTAGAAAGAGCTCCGAGGGCCTCTTACTTCTGGGTAAGGGAGGCTGAGAAAGAAGAGGATCTTGCTCAGTGCCTCTACATAAGACCTCAAGGCCTTTGTTTGTCCACGCTGCTGTCAGGGATCCGGAAAGTCAAGGGGGGCGGAGGGAAGAGGGAGAGGGAGAAAGGAAGAGACACCCTGGCCTGGAATAATAATGGCACTCATTTTAAGAAAACATTTCCAAATGCCAGATGTATGTCCAAGTTGAAGAGCCAGAGCTCTTGACTTTTAGTCCCAGCTCTAGAGTAACCAGTTGATGGCCGTTGGGCAAGTCACCGTCTCTCTGATTCTGCACCATGTTTAAGGGCTCAGATCCCAGAGCCAAGTCAATCAAGGTTTGATTCTTAGCCCTGCATGATCTGGGCATGTTACTTACCTCCTCTGAGCTTCATCTGTGCAATGGGCATTTTAACAGTGAACTACACGTCATGAGGTAGCTAATGCAAACAGTGTGTTTGTCCAGCATGGTGCAGGGAATATAGTAAATGCTCAAGAAATACTAGATGTTGGCATTTTCACCTGCCAAATACCTGTCCTGCCCTTCTCAGTGGCTGTTCCAAAGCTGAATTAGGGATGAGGTAAGAAAATATTTTGTGATATAAATGGTACTTTATAGCTGTAAGGTGTAATTGTTCAATTATCATGATTGTTGCTTTGAATATTATGATACTGAGCAGGAGATACTGTTTTCATAGAAGCGCTTCTCAGAGTCTCTCTGGGTAATGAGAGATTGGATTTGAAAGGCTACCTTCCAGGAAAAAAAAAAAAAAAGGAAAAAAAAAGCCACATTCTTGCTTTGAAAAGCCGAGCCTCCCAGCACTGAAACAGAACAGATTCATTACTCAGTGAGGATTAATTAGCTGTCGGGTATTATTAAACATTCTCACTCTCAAGATCCACATAGAACTGGAAACTCTGAAAGGGAGCGGGAAGCAATCATAGCACAGGGAAGAAAAAAGGCCACAACTGCTGGCAATGCACATTTCAACGCAGAGCGTGTTAGTAAATCACAGTCTGATTAATATCACGTCAGGCCAGTCTCTGCTTGGAGTCATTGTTCCGAATCTGGGGTCTGCAGGTAGCCTGGCTGTTTCTTCCTCTACCACTGGGAGCAAGAAGGAAAGGAGGCTGTCCTTGTCAGTACTCGCCTGGAAAAGGATGCTGGGGTGTGGACATTTACACGGAGACATGGGGTATTTGAAAGCCTTGGAAGGTAGAGGAGGTGAAATCAGATGCAAGTATTTACAATTTTATAGCAAAGGTGTCTCCCAAGCTGGTACAATATCTGTTGCAATGACTGGAAAGTAACAGAGGCTCATAAAAACAACAGCTGGAAGGAGGCTGAGAGATGAGAGAGCCCAGTGACCACGGCCTCCTTGTACCCACCCGTCGGGGCTCATGTCCATCATGCAGACTCCTCGGACCACTCCACTTGCTGAAGAGAACCCCCCGGGCTGGGTCCTGGGAACCTGTGTTTGTAACCAATACTGTGGTGGCAGAAACACTGACTCTGTCCCTTCCTCTGCCACTCAGAAAGTAAGCCTGGAGAGAGCACATGGGATTCATTGGCTCAGGATCACCCAGCTGGTTAATATGGAAGCAAGAACCAGAATTGGGATTTTCTAACTCAGCCCCACCTCAGGGCCTCCTTCCTTGTAGGATACATATAAGTCCACTTCCCGACATCACTGTCTTACTTTGGGGACAATCTCAGCTCTCGTGGACACTTACAGATAGGGCTTCTCTCCTCTTCATCATGGGATGGCACCTTCAGGGCAAAGGACAGCTATAGGAAATCCCATAGGATGCCAGGGACAACAGGCATTCATAGTATGAGAAATCCCCTCCATGTAGCAAACAAGCGCAAGGGAGCACATGGGCAGAAGTTCATGTTGTAAATTTCCCAGTGGCACCTAATCCACCTGTTTCCCTACAGGATAGTCAAGTCCTGGGGGCTGAAAGGCTATCTTATATCTTATTCTTTTTGTATCGCTTGCATAACGCTTGCCGCTTAGCAGCCATCAGTGACCAGTTTGTAAATACAGCAATATAAAAAAAATACATGACAAGAAAAATGAGTATGAATTTTTCTCAGATGCAGAGGCCTACTAACAGCAGGGAGTAATAACAGCCATACTAATGATGATAGTAATGCAAACTAGCAGCAGGGAACCGACTTTCTGTGAGATGAGGCATAGGCTAAGCTCTTCATCACACGCCATGCAGCATCGAATCCTCACAACTGGCCCTGGAAGTAGTGACCACCATCATCCCTGTTGCGCAGATGCGACATTAGAGGCACAAGGAGTTTAGGTGTCGTGTCCAAGGTCACTAGACGGAGAGCAATGGGACCACAGTTCCAAGCCAGCACAGACGGATCCAACCTTCATATTCCTAGTTGCTCTACCCTCCAATCTCCCAGCCTTTAGACGGCAGCGGTTCTCAACCTGTGTGTCGCGACCCCTTTGGAGGTCGAACGACCCTTTCACAGGGGTCGCCTAAGACCATCGGAAAACACATATAGCATACCAGATATTACGATTCATAACAGTAGCAAAATTACAGTTATGAAGTAGCAACGAAAATTTTATGGTTGGGGGTCACCACAACATGAGGAACTGTATTAAAAGGTCGTGGCATTAGGAAGGTTGAGAACCACTGCTTTAGAGCAACGGCCTGATCTGGTGGGGTGGGCTCGCTGGCAGCTCTCCAGGCTGAACGCCCAGGCTGACAAGAGCGGGCAGAGCAGCCAACGCAGAAGGGGCTCAAATGAAGACCAGGTACTCATCAGTAAGTACTAAGTTAACGTGAGACCGCCCAGCACTGCGGCCAGCGAAGAGTCTGTGCTCAAACAGCACCCGCTCAATAAACAGATGAACAAATGAATGAACAAATAAACGGGCGAGGTAATCAGATACACAGCCATCATTCAATTCCCATCTCTGCTCCGAAACCCGGGGCGACAACCTCTCTTCCCCAGATGTGCTTCACCGTCTCCGTTCTCGCTGCTTGGCTACAGCGGAGCAGCTGCCGGCTGGAAGCGCATATTTCACAGGTTTGGAAAGTCCCTTGGGGCTAGGGCTGGTCCTGACATGTGCTCGCTTTCCTGCTCACAGTGAACACATCTAAAACTAAGCTCATGACTCAGGCTTGAACCAATTTAACCTAGATCTGGAGAGCCTTCCCTTAAAAGTCCACTTTTAGAAATCTATTTTTAACACCACTTCCCTCGGCGCCCTTTCCCGGTCTCCCGGAACCAACGTAATTTCCCCCTCCTTTGATCAAATGGCAACTCCCTCCGACTCACACTGCATTTATCTCCCTCTATTTAGTGCCATAACCATTTGTGTATTAGCCGATGAATCCTCTTTTCTTATCAGACTGTGCATTTCTGGAGGGCAGGAAGGAAGCCACTCAGACGAATAGTAGGGATCGTTTATGGAGGCCCAGCCACGGAGTCAGGGCTTCCCACCCTCATGCATTTTATCCTCACAAATCCATGGGCCTAAAGGTTAGGTTCACTGTCTTGCAGATGGAGAAACTAAAAATCACTTGTGTGACTAAAGCTCAAAACGCTGAGTGGCTATGGGAGATTCTGGCAAGGGGCAGAATTGGAACCCAGTCTTGTTAGATTCAGACGTTCATGTGTGTTTTATTTTGTATTTTTAAAATAGGTTTTTATTGCTTTCAGAAAAGGGAGAGGGAGAGATAGAACATCGGTGATGAGAGAGAATCATGGATGGCTGCCTCCTGCATGCCCCCTACTGGGGATTGAGCCTTAACTGGGGCATAATTGAACTGTGACCTCCTGGTTTATGAGTCGATGCTCAATCCCTAAGCCACACAGGCTGGGCTGGAGGTTCATGTTTTGAATCGGGTCTTCAACTTCCCTTCCGGGTAGTCCCATCCCCTGTATCTTGAGTACAAAAGATGCTCAAGATGTTTAGGTAATGAGGACAGGCAGAGGCTAAGCATACAGTAACACATGGCACTGGCCACGTGGACCGAGGAAATGCACGGACTTGTGGGCAGTGGAGCTTGGCACCTGTCCTGCTCCCCCATCTGCCACCGGAGTCTCGGGCAGGTGAGTCTCTGCTGGATCTCCCTCCCTCTCACATCACAGTTGCAACATTCCCAGCAGCCAGCCTGTGGCCAACCTCAGGAGGCACCAAGGCGGTGGCAGAAAACCAGCCTTTGGACTCACCCGCAAGGTTGTGATGGTGGCAGGATCCCGCAGCCGGCCCTCCTCATCTTTCAGGTTGTAACCCTCCGGCCGTTTATCGCGCTCGCTGACTTTCCACAGTTTCACAGTTTTATCTGTGGAGGGCAACCAGAGGACATCAACATTACAGTGCAGGAACGCTGGGAGAGGAGTCTTCTGGGTCGGGCGGGGAGGATGGGGAGAGGCGGAGGTACACATGGAAGAAACTGCCACAGAAGCTGGCTCATGTCGAGGGCTTCGGTGCATAAATCTCGTGTCACTTGAAGGCAGAGTTCACGTTTCAAAACAAAAAACATCTATCATGTAGAGACAGATGGTCTTCCTGACAATGGGCTGTTAAATCTACAGCTGAGACATTAATTTTGTTCATTCCATAAAAATATTTATTGAACACAGAATAACAAGAGTAGCTACATATATAAAATTAACGATGCTAGCACTTTGCATGGAGAATTTATTGAATGTTCAAAAGTACCTTGAGAGGTAGATACTATTATTATTCCCATTTGTATGTTGCATTTCACTAAACACTGCCCTTCCCATGGCCCGAGAGGCTCTCCATGACCTGCACCCCTATTTCCTCATCCTTTCTGATCTCACCATCCATCCTACTCCCTGCCACATGGCTTCCTTACAGCTCTTGGTACATGCTAATCTCATTGCTGCCACAGGACATTTGCACAAGCTGTGCCTTCTGCCACGGGAGCCTTTTACCCTCTCTTGCACGTTATTTTTCCTTCACTTTGCTCTCTCCCTATGCCCCAACTTCAGTGGGGCCTCTCCTAACCAACCTACATAAAAAGGTGTTCTTCATTATTCTCTAGCCAGCAGTTCTCAACCTGTGGGTCGCGACCCCTTCGGCGGTCGAATGACCCTTTCACGGGGGTCGCCTAAGACCACCCTGCATATCAGATATTTACAGTATGATTCATAACAGTAGCAACATTACAGTTATGAAGTAGCAACGAAAATAGTTTTATGGTTGGGTCACAACATGAGGAACTCTATCTAAAGGGCCAGAAGGTTGAGAACCACTGCTCTAGCCCCTCTTCCTCCTTTGTCTTTCCTCCTAGGACAGTGGTTGACAAACTGCGGCTCACGAGCCACATGCGGCTCTTTGGCCCCTTGAGTGTAGCTCTTCCACAAAATACCAACTTCTGCGCATGGGCCATGAAGTTCAATTGCACTGTATGTGTGCGCCCACACATGGTATTTTGTGGAAGAGCCACACTCAAGGGGCCAAAGAGCCACATGTGGCTCGTGAGTTTGCCGACCACTGTCCTAGGACACTTCACTACTGGGAAACTTATTATGTCTCCCTCACTAGAATGTAAAATCAATAGAGAGGCAGGGATTCTGACTGCGTTGCTCATTACTATACCTCCACACCGACAACAGTGCCTGGGACAGAGCCGTTGTTCAATGACTACGAGTTGGATGGATGAATGAATCTCACCTGCACACTGCTTGTTGCTAGCAACCCAGGGAAATACAAGTAAGGAGAGTTATCAAAATGCTCCTTTCCCCTTGCAGGCTCCTTGGAGTCCCCACCTGGAAACTACCTTTCTCACCTTTGTGCTGTCCCCACACTTTATCCCACTTGCTGACACTTGTCATTTTCTACGGCAATAAATCGTGGTGAGAAGTCCAATGCCTGGAGGGGTGGGGCAGGTCAGGAGATGAGTGACAGGAGCAAGGGGTTTAGGGGGAGGTAGAGACCGCTTGCCCCACCTGCAGACGCTCAATTCCATTTTATAAAGAAACATGTTCGGGCCAAACAGATCATGCCTGTGGGCTGCGGGCCTTTGGGAGCCTTCCTTATCAGATCCTGCATTCATAATTTGTACTTGTTCTAACTTCTCTTCTGGAAGGCAGGGACTCGGTGCCTTCTCAAATCTTTCTATATGCCTGCACAAGGTAAGCGTGGAACCAGATAACCTCGGCCCCATCCCCATGCCAACTCCAGCCAGCCACATGGCCCAGCACTGTGATCCCCACCCAGCAGGCGCCTAACTAGTATTTCTTGAGTGACAAACAAATGGGACTACCAGATTGAGCAGAGAAACAACTACAGAACACACAGTTACATCTGAATTTCAGATAATGTGTAATTTTTCAGTACAAATATGTCCCGAATATTCTAACCTTGTGAATAAAGAGACTTAGCTTCTCTGTGCCTCAGTTTCTTTATCTGTAAATTAAGGAAAGCCAGGCCTTCCTCACGGGGCTCTTATGAGGATTGAATGAAACACTGTGGGTACAGTGTGTACCGAGGGGCGGGCTTCTAACAGTGGTTCACAATGGCAGCTGTTATCAGAATGAGCAAGTTGGGCAACTATTCTACAATAACAACTTGTTGTGCTGACGGCATTAGCTTCCCCCAGGATGATGTCAGCACATCCTGCATCCTCTGTGTAAGACTGTCTGGGGAGAGAAGCCGTCCTCTGTCTGCCTTCACTAGGATTCCCCCTCTCTCTCGCCGCCCCCCCACCCCGCTCCATCTCCCCTCACCAAAGCCTTGTCCTCAGAGGTCTGAAATGCACCCCATTGGGCTTTCTGCAACAATTTGGACAATTGAACAAGTAAGCGTCTCTGTTTCCTGAGGTCTGGGGGTCACTCGGGCTGGTCATGCTGCTGGCAGCCTGGCCAGGCTGCTCGTGTGAGATCTGTGCACGCACCAGGCTATCCTGGGGCGAGGGCCAGGAAGGCCTTCCCAGGCACTATATGCCGGCACTCCTCTAGTCCTGCCCTCTCTGGATAGCCTGCTACACACTGAACTGTGACAAAAAGGAAACATGGGCCATATTTATACAATCACTTGATTAGGTACTGATCAGCTGTGACTTAGAAGAATGCAAATCAGTGACTTTTAACACCAAATATTTCCAATTGCTTGCCTTTGGAATGCATCCCATCCCATTTGCAAGGCAATTCTTTCCTTACATTTTTCTTGTGAGTGATAATAGCTCTGTAGAGAAATAGAGAAATCATAGGTAAAGCATAAAGAATAAAAATCACCTATAATCTCTTCAGTCAGGGACAGTCATTGTTAAAATCTTGCATAGATCCTCTTAGTATTTTTTTTTCTATGCATATTTTTGGGGGGAGCAATAAAAACCAATAATATTACATGTATATGTTTATTTTCTCATTTTCATTCCTTCTTTTTATTATACAAGTGTGTAATTATTATATAACTAGAAGCCTGGTGCATGAAAATTCGTGCACTCGGGGCGGGGGAGGGGGAAGGGTCCCTCAGCCTGGCCTGTGCCCTCTCGCATTCTGGGACCCCTCGGGGGATGTCCACCTGCCAACTTATGCCCGCTCCCCTGGGGCTCGGGCCTAAGCTGGCAGTCAGACATCCCTCTGGCAGCCGGGAGCCCTCAGGGGATATCCGACTAACAGCTTAGACCCATTCCTAAGCTGCAGTTGGACATCCTTAGAGCTGCCGAGGAAGCGGGAGAGGCTCCTGCCACCACTGCTTTGCCTGGCTTGTGGCTGAGCAGAGCTCCCCCTGTGGGAGTGCACTGACAGGGGGGGGGGGGGGGGGGTGGGGTGAGGCAGCTCCTGCATTGAGTTTCTGCCCCCTGGTTGTCAGTATGTGTCATAGTGACTGGTTGTTCCAGGTCGTTCTGCCATTAGGGTCAATTTGCATATTACCCTTTTATTATATAGGATAGGATTGTAGAAAATAAAAATGAGCATAAAAGTAAAAATATGAAAACCTCCCTCAATTCCACTAGACCAGCGGTTCTCAACTTGTGGGTCGCGATCCCTTTGGTGGTCGAACGACCCTTTCACAGGGGTCGCTTAAGACCATCCTGTATCTCAGATACTTACATTATGATTCATAACAGTAGCAACATTACAGTTATGAAGTAGCAACAAAAATAATTTTATGGTTGGGTAACAACATGAGGAACTGTATTTAAAGGGCCAAAAGGTTGAGAACCACTGCACTAGACAGAGATATCTAGTATGAAAACCTTAGTATGTCCTTTCATTTCTGGGAGCAATCACATAACTGTTTTAAATAGATGCAACATGTTATGCATAGTTTATGAGTATGTTTTTTTCTAATCATATCTATCTATTCCAACATTTATTCCTATAAATATATAATTTCTAATAGTGAGAATTTAATAATTAAAGGTCTAATAATGGGAGATATTAGTAAACTATAGAAGAATCATACAGGGGAATGTTATGCAGTCCTTGAAAATGTTATGGAATTTTAGAAGAATATTTAACAGTTAGGAAGATATTCCTGTTATTAAGTATTACATAAAAAAATCTGGTTGCCAAACAGTGTACAGAATATACCACATTTCTGCTAATAAAAAACAGATTTATCCATGCCTCTTTGCTGTTTTCTTTAAAAGACACAGTGGTTCTCTCTGATGGGAACACATTATTTTCATTTTGCTTCTCTATCTTCTAATGGTTTTGCAATGAACACCTAACTATTTTCATAGCCCATCTATCAAGTAAACTATACCTTCCCTTCTCATCATAGGTACTAAGACAGAAATAGAAAGCTAGGCAAGGCAACATCTTTTCATCTCGCAAATAATTTTAAGGTCTAGATTCACAACCGAATGTTGGTTTATTTTTCATTAGAAATTGTAAAGTTATATTCTACCAGAAAGTAAAAACTGTATCCAATTATGATGAGATAAGCACAGTTGTGTTTCTTTAAAGAAAGATAATTGATGGCGAATTCAATCCAATTCCCCATGGCTGGGTTGCCTGGAGTCATTCTTGACTTTATTATCACACAGTGTTTCTGGACTCCCTGTCTGAAAGCTTTGTGGATAAGGACGTCTGAGGAACAAACAGGTGGCTGTTACTATGAGTAATGACTTTTTCTATATTCTGGCTGGCTCTCTGCGTAGTTTATCATTACTTGTGGCAGCTTTTAAACACAATCTTCTCATCTATCTTCATTTTCTCTTTTGTACAGTAATTCCAATTGTCTCCCATTAATTTTCGCATGTTAACCTATTTGGCTTAAGGGGAATTCGCAACCTCAATATTAGTATAAGAAAGAAAGTCCCAGGAGAGCGTGGGAATTTTTCTTATAAGAATCATTTGGAGATGCTGTTGGCATATGAAATAGCATCCCAAATGGGAAGATAATATCCTTGTTAATCAAAAAACTATTTAAAAACTCAATTAACAGAACATTATACTATATAATTAATCTTCATTGCATTTCACTGATTTTTTCCCATCCCCCACCCCCACAAAGGAGTTAATGCATCTTTGAATTTTATTGTAATAATCAATAGGCTAAATTTCATAATATAAAGTAAGCTAGCTAGAGCAGATAATCAGACACTTGCTCTGCCCAAAGTAATTAAGTCAGAATCATCAGAAGTCTTTTTTAATCTAAGTAGTGTTGAATCTGCAGAGCCTTTGAGTGAAATTTCAACGGTAAAACTAAGAGGGAAGACAGTGAAACAAATTCACATGGTTTGGCTTTCAAGAAACACAGTTCACAAAATTAATAGAACAATAAATACAGTTATGAGAAAGAATTAAATTACTTGGAATCTGGAAAAACAGATGACTGGAAATCTGGACATGTTGAGATAAGCCATGCGTGAATAACTCCAAACTGGCTGTTTCAGAATTGCCATTTTTTTTTACAGTTGTACACTGGTTTTATATTTGGGGGATTTTTGGTTCATACGCATTAAGAAAACCCCTCCTTCCTTTTAAAATAAAATATAAAACTCATCATTAAAACTTAGAAAATAAAAGTGATAAAAAGAATAAATTTATAAGAAACCCATAATACATAATCAAAAATTAATCATGATAAGCCTTTAGGTATGTTTCCTTTTAGTGCTTACAAATGTTAATATACATCTGATCATACTATATACAGTATTTACATTTTTTTCACTTGACATATGTGCACTTCCCTTTATAAATACTGGGGATGGGCAAATAGCGAATCGCTCGCTTTCTGACCCATATTTAAATGTACACTCCTCACAGACTCACACAATGAATCAGGCGCCAGCTTATTTGCTTGGGAGAGGGTGTTTAATTTGTATCCTCTAATCCTCTTAATTGCTATGCTATTCAATTAGCACCCTTTAGTATATGCTTTTATTCTAAATCGTTTCAAGCATAGGTGGGCTTCTGTCAGCAGTGGCATTGAGAAACGCTAGGGTAGGTAATTCCACCGAATTAGCATGGAATTTGGCTCTCTAGTCAACCTCCAACCACCTCTCTCCTGGACCTATTTATAGCAACTCTCCCACAATTGCTCTTAGAAGAGCATGGAGGGAGAAAGAGAAAGAAACCGCTTCTTAATCATCCTTTGGTAGGGTCCCTCTCTCTCCTTGACTTGTGCTTAGAGAACTTGATTGTGTCAGAGAGAGAAAAAACCCCAAACACATTCAGGGATTAATAACTTCTACTCAGTATGCCAGACTCACAGGACGGCCTGTCCGGGGTTCCTGAAATGCGTTCCCAGAAAAACATTCAATGAATCTTAAAACAGGAAGCCACATTCCAGAAGCACCTGGAAATAATCTGCATTTAGTCAAAACCTGCGGACACCGGGGCTCACCTAATTGGGTCAGAAATGTGTGACATTTCAAAAGAATCACTACTATTCACGGAGGGCCCGCTCTGCGCCAGGCACTCAGGTAAGCATCTTGCAAAGACTGTTGCCAAGTTTCCTTGACAGCCCACAAGGTGAAGAAGGAAAACGGAGTCTCAGAGAGACTGGAACGTGATGTGGCTGCTTCTCCCTCCGACAACACCAAATAGGAGCAGTCCCTGTACGCACCGTTAGTGGACAGAAGGAAGTAGGCTGCATTCTGCTGGGGGAGCCATCTTATTTTATTGATTTTTTCTTCTATTTCCAAGCTCTTCAGGTAATCGAACTCGGGTTCATGGCTCTGGAACGTGCTGTAAACATTGTATTCACCCCTACGATGAACCTGATTTTTACTCTGTAAAAAAAGGCGGGAGGGGGGGGTAAGGAGGGGGGAATACATGAAAGATGAAATCACATAGGCCACCTGTGAATTCACTAATTTCTTCTTCTTCTTCTTTTTTTGAGCAGAATCATTAGGGATGGATAGGCAGGCCATCAGCGTGGGATGAGGGCAGGACCATGAGTGCCACAAGTTTTGCCTGAGCTCACAGGCCTCCAAAGCATCTGATCTTGCAGCTGTTGGTGACTATGAGTATCTCCAATATCCATATAGGCATAAATGATATACATAAAATTCTATAATATATGGTATACATCGTAACATATACATAGAAACAGAAGTTGAAATAGGACATGATTTTAAAATGTACATTTAAAAATCAATATAAACAGAAGTGCTAATATTTTCGTTCTGAATTAGCGGATGTCTTGAACACCCTTTGGACCCATGCTGATGTCCATATGTGCGTCTATCAATCTCTTACAAAGAGTGCAAAGCTATGGCATCTGTACCTTTCATTGGCCTTTTAAAGTCTCCCCAGATTCTCAGAGAATCTTGGAGACGTGGGAAGAGCAGGGAAATGGACAAAGGAGGCTCAGAGATATCTTCCAAGGTCACAGGACTTCTATGGAGCAGATCTGGCCATCAGATCCCTCCCCACCCCTTTTTTTCTAACATGGGAAACAAAACAGACAGGAGCAGATGGGTGACACCTGCATCATGGGGAGGTGATGAGACCTCACCCCTGGCTGTCTCCTAGCTCTGATTCTGCAACAGGCAAACAGCAGGAGCTAAATAAATGGTGAGAGAATGAAACATCAGGGGAAGGATCTGCAGAAAGGGGCAACGGAAAGAAGAAAGGCGGAGAGAAGGAAAAAGAGGGCGTGAACAAAGAAAGAGCAGAAAGGAAAAGAGGGGGGGAGGTCTCGTTTCAGGCATTTTAGAACGCGACTACCAAGAGTTTTAAGGGCCAGGCTTTGGAAAACTGTTCAAAAACTCCAATCCAGGTCTTTATAGACATTTGTCACAAAAGCTTGACTCGTAATAAAAGCTCAATTAAAAAAAAACCCAACTAGATTTCTGGGTAGATACTGAATATCCAAACCCAAATCTTCACTTCCTGATGGGTGCTGACACCCAGGTGTTCCATGTATTTGTGAGGGCACTGAGGTTCCTTCCTACAGCAAGCCCTCCAGGTCTGCAGCTCTTGAGAAGTCACTCACAGACACGGAAAACACACCTGACCTCGGTGTTGTCCCATGGTTTCGTTTCTGAGGCTTAGTGCCCATTTCAACCCCACGCCTCCCCACAGAGCTCAACACTTAACTGCATGTTATTATACTGGGCATTTGTTTTTTATTGAACCAAATCACTCTTCTTGGGAAAACGTGTCCCCCTTCATTCTACTAATGAATCAGGCTTCCCACATATTCCAGTAAATTAAAATAGGTGGAACCTATAAATAGCAAAGGGAAAATGTGGTTTGGAATATTACTGGCAACACGCTGCCCTGGGTAATTTATGCTAAATAGCTCCTCCGGTTCCTCTTTATCATCACCACGAACCTAATGGGTTTTTTTTTTTTTTTCTAAATTGAAGAAGAAAGTTTGAAAATCAGCTTGAAGAGGACTTGCCACGCTGACTGACATACATGTCAGTCACCAGCCTGCCTACTGCAGAGAGCGCCAGTCCACCTTAACAATACATTCATCCGAATGTTGATTTGGTACCATCCAAATCAGACTGTCAAGTGTGTGCCGTATGTGCCAGACCAATTAGCACTCGGCAGCTCTGGAAAAGCAGGAAAAATTCCAGGTCACGAAGAGCTATTAGTTCCTACTTGCCAAGCCCATTTCCCTGTTTCCAGGACCAGTGGAACAGGCTGGTGCCTGACTTCATGCTGAACACTTGAATTTCTACAGAAACCCGAGGGATTAGGATGCCCTTATAGAAATTAATTGCAAATAATGTGCAATTAACAAATACATCACCTCTAAATGAGGTTTTCCTTTTTTGGAGGGGAGGTGGAACATAAATGGCTTGGAGGCACAAAGCAGGCACTCAATTGCTAGGGAAGTCTCGCTGAACCCTTCCGCCTGCACTCGGCCTCCCCACGCTGTGCTGGGTGAGTCTCGGAGGCAGACGGTAGCAGATGGGAGCGTTACTAGCACACAGGCTGGCCTGCTGGGAGCCCCAGGACCAGGCCAGGGGAAGCCAAGACAATCACATCGGGCCATGCTTCCCTTCTGACAAAGCAGAAGCAGACACCCCGAAATGCAATTTATATGAAAAAGAGACACAATTCCTAGTGGAACCCAAGTCCCAGGAAGAAAGGGGCTTTTTGAGATTCAGTGGAAATTAAAACTCGCGCTCAGAAAGCACACAGCACTCAGCTTCAGGGACCTTCGAGTCACCCACAGTAAAGTGTAGGTGCCCTGTGCATCGCTCAGATGCCATTTTGTGGGACTGCACTCCCTTCGGTGGGGTGAGCTACTATTTTCTTCTCCACTGACCCAAGTTGTCCCTTTCACAGCTGTGGACAAAGAACCGTTTCTTCCTCCTACATATTCTGTGAGAGCACCTGAAAGGAGCGGAGGCTTCATTTTAATCACTCCAGGATGAATTTCACTCCGAAGGGAGGAGTTATGCTCAAAAAGCACCCGTGGCACTTTGCAGGTCAGAGGAGACGTGAGAACCTGAAAAGATAAGGCCGTGCCCAGGAAAGGCTCTATTTTCAGGTGCTTTCATGAGCCGGAAGGTGGAACGGTTGATGTTAATGACTTCTTGGCAGTTTTTAGTTGGCTAGCAAAGCAGCAAGGTGAAGGGGGACACGTGAGGATTAAGGAACAGCAGGAGGCCTCCGCTAAAAAAGGGAAGGAAAGGGGCATTTTGCAGTCACTTGCCACTTACCTCCTGCTCTCGTTGAAATATTACAACCCGACCTCCCTTGTCCCCTGTCGCTAGTAATTCTCCCGTGTGGTTGAATTCTACCGTAGAGATAATGTCAGCTGAAAAGAAGAAGACAAAGGCAATTTAAGTAACTGCACACTTGCTTTGAAACGACAGATAATAGACACACTTTTCTGCGCATTTAAGGGCTCAGGGCTTTGTCTCTGCAGTGGAATTTACAAGGGCTTTATGTTCTGTATTTTAAGTGCCGCGAGAAGCGGCTCTTGGGAAAGTACATCTCCTAGATGCCCACACTGCGCTGTGGTCTCCTGGAACATCTAGCGAGAACAAAAGGAAGAAGCACATTCAGATCCTTTTATGTTGGGCAAGAGAAAATGAGTTTCCTTAAGGCTCATGGAAATGGCCATCCTCTGATAGTTTCTACCAGCCATGGAGCCCGTACCCACTCCTGGCCTCTTTGCATTTCCTTTTCTTCTATACCGAGGCACTTCCCCACACAGGTTTTCGTGGTGGCTATGCAAACGAGGGCTGGGGATGCCTGAAGCTCAGACATGGAAAAACACTGGCAACCTTTGCAAGTTGGAAACTCATGGAAGGACCCCCACAAATGCTCCAGCTTGACCCCGTGGTACCTCTTTTTTTGGTGAGCCCAACACTCCTTTCTGGAAGAGCACGTCTTATTCCAACCCCAGGTGAAGGGTGCTGGGGAAACGGTTATGAGTCAAAGGGGAAGTCAGAGGGCAATTTGTCCCCTGTGTTTCCCAACAGAGAAAATACACAGGCGCCAGGAACTCAGATCAGCGATAATTGCTGAGCGAATGCCAGCCTGCCAAATCTTTCTTCAATGCCAGTTACCCCCGGAGGAATACGGACAGGTAAATTACCTATGATGGGATTTATTAGGGCTATTTTTAGAAACATGTCAGAGGTTAATTCTTGTGCAATTATTCCCTTGCAGGGCTTCAACAATTGCTCCCAAGAGTTCAAATAAGTTCTAAAAAAAGGGGTGGGGAGGGGGCGGATTATGACCATGGCCTTTGACAGAGGAACATTCTGAGGATTACGTCCATGTGAGAAAAGCAGAGGGAAACTGAGCTGGAAAACGAAGGCAATTGCCCCTGAATGATTCACATCTCAAATCGTACATTAATATCATCGTCTCAGGATTTTCTTGGTATGCCTGATTTATTCAGGTAAGTAGTGTACAATTCTCCACTTTGCACATAACTGTCCTGTTCCACATATGACAATGCTCTTAATGGTCATTCTTTGTGTAGAAGGAAAAAGAATAAGGCTCAAACCATAGTCACTTTCAGGCTGGCACATTTAAAAGAGCAATTCATGATTGCTTTTTTTTAAAAAAAAATCCTGACCTGAGGATATGTTTTTTATTGACTGTAGAGAGAGAGGAATGGAGAGAGAGAAACATTGATGGGTTGCTTCCTGTGTGTGACCCGACCTGGGATCGAACCTGCAACCTTTTGGTGTATGGGACACTCCAACTAACTGAACCACCCAGCCACGGCAATTCATGATTTGTTTGGGCCTCTTAGGCGACTGACCCCAGGACAGCAAATTCAAAGCTCTACAGGAGCACTAGGCAAAATGGAGTGAAGAAAACCAGATGCAGTAGGAAGCTTGTGTCCTCTCTTAGGGGACAAGTGGCCGCTTGGCTTAAGCCAACTGTGGCCATCAACTATTGCGAGCGTTGGCAGATATTCTGATCTTTTTCAAAGAAGTTGGAAATCAAGATTTTTATGCAAAATCTTTTCAGTTTTATATATGGGCAACTAATTCTTTTTTTTCAACACCAGGACATTTAAAAAAAGTGTAATCTTGTCTGTGGGCTGAATGTGGTGTGTGAGTCACCAGCTTGTGACGCCTGGTCTATAGTCTTCCTTCAGAAAAGACCACCCCATTCCTTCCTGATGATCTCAGCCAGAGATCTAGTCCGTTCCCTCAAGTAGAGCCCTCCAAATGAATGCGACCTCAAGGAAACATGAAATACGCGAGTGCTTATCCAGTTCCTAATGCAAGCGGAGGAGGCCCATTTCTCAAACAAGTGCCCACTGAGGAGGAAGGAAGCCCAGCAGGGCCAGGGAGCCAACCACCTCAAGTGAATTATTTGCCCACGTTTCTTTGTCACAGTTGGTGCATCTTAACAAAGCACGCTCATGTACAGAGGAGGGAAGGCGGCTGCTTAGTGTTTGCACTGCCTCCGCAAAGCACTCGAGTGCTAGGATACATTTCTTAGGGACTGCTACTGGCTTTTCAATGAGTGGTTAGCAATGGGGTTATTCACGGAGATTCCTGACTTGGGTGGAACCTAATGAAGACGAGGCCATTTCTTTTTTCTTTCAGGCTTCTGTGGGGTACTACGGAGTGAGTCAGAGCCCTCAAACTGCTGAAGACACAAATGTGTTCCAGAGAAAAGGGTAGTGGGGAATAATGAGAGGGTGGTGGGGAGACAAGACCTGGGGGTTAACAGCACCCCACTCCTGTCTTTAGGGCTAAAGGCTACTTAAGTGCAGTTCACGTCCTTCCTCTCCCAGCAATGTTAACACGGAGTTCTGGGTGGGTGGCAGGGTCCACGCATTGAGGACTGAAGGATGGGCTTTTCCTTTTGGGAAGTTGGGTATCAGAAGAGTCAAGCAGCTTTTCCCAAGGTCAGCCTCTGGCTCAGTTTCCAAGAAAATGTCACTCCAAGGAAAACAAAATTCTCTTTCTCAGTTGCCGTATACATTGCCTTTTTGCCCAGACTCTCTGTGAAAATGTCCTTCTTCTCCTTTTAAGATCCACACAGGTCAAAGCAAGGTAGGATATATTTTTTAAATCAATAATTCTCAGGCATGGATCTGTTCATTTATTAAACTACTCATCACTGCACCGGATGCATAAAGCATTCTTCCAGGCTCCATGGAGGACACAAGCTTCAAGGTCCCTGCCCTCCAAGTCACTTCAACTAAAACATGCACCACTCCACCCCACTCCATGGTGTTTCTATCACCGTCTTCAAAAATAATCATCTGCACTCAAGCCTCCACAGATAAATTCTGCCTGCTGCATCTATTTTTACTCCCAATTCCCTCAGCCTTTAGAAAAGAATACATTGTTTTTGTATTTGCTAAAATGTTCTTTCACATGTGCATGCTATCCATATTATTTACAAACTAGAGGCCTGATGCATGAAATTTGAAATTCGTGCAAGGGGCTTGGACCCCACAGCTGCGGCAGCTGCCTCTGCCATGGCCCCATGGTGCCACAGCCTAGTCCGGAAGTTCGTCCGGTCTCATTAGCATATTACGCTTTTATTATTATAGATTGTTAGGAAAGCCCTAGCTGGTTTGGCTTAGTGGATAGAGTGTCCGCCTGTGGGCTGAAGAGTCCCAGGTTTAATTCCAGTCAAGGGCACATGCCCAGATTGTGGTATTGATCCCAGTGTGGGGCATGCAGGAGGCAGCCAATCAATGATTCTCATCATTGATGTTTCTATTTCTCACTCCCTCTTCCCTCCTCTCTGAAAAATATCAGTAAAAATAGATTTTTAAAAAATTGTTAGGAAAGACCACTGGGCCCCAACTACCATGACACCGACAGCGCCTACCATGAGAGTAATACCTTTAGGTTAAGGCCGTGGTCGGCAAATTGCGGCTCACGAGCCACATGTGGCTCTTTGGCCCCTTGTGTGTGGCTCTTCCTAAGCCTTAGCAGCGCCCTAATTAAGTTAATAACAATGTACCTACCCATATAGTTTAAGTAAAAAAATTTGGCTCTCAAAAGAAATTTCAATCGTAGTACTGTTGATATTTGGCTCTGTTGACTAATGAGTTTGCCGACCACTGGGTTAGAGCATTGTCCCAAGACCCCTCTTAAAGGCAATTATTGCTTGGAAGCTATAGTACTTTTTAAAAATACATATTTTTATTGATTTCTGAGAGGAAAGAGAGATAGAAACCGTAATGATGAGAATCGTTGATTGGCTGCCTCCTGCATGCCCCCCATTGGAGATTGAGACTGAAACCTGGGCATGTGCCCTGATCCAGAATGGAACCATGACCTCCTAGTTCATAGGTTAACACTCAACCACTGAACCACACCGGCTGGCTGGATGCTATAGCACATTTTAAACCATGAGGAACCATAGACATGCACATAGAATATTTATCACATACAAAAATGTGTATCATGGAAGGAGAAAGATAAAAGGAACAATGCCCACTAGAGAGTATGTATCCAGGCAACATGGTGCAATGGAGTCTGGGACCCAATCAGAACATAACACTGAGGCCAGCTGTGGGGATTTGGAATAGCCAGGCACAGGGGAAAGAAACACAACACACACACACACACACACACACACACACACACACACACACACACAGATTCAGGCTCAAGTCTAAGCCACATGATCCAAGACAGTATTTATGGAACATCAGGCATGGTTCCAGCTAATAAAAATGTCTCCCTTTTTTCCAAGTGTTGTCATTATTGGTGTTATGCTGCCCTCAAGAATCTTTTAAGAAAATGGGTGATTGGTACAGCAGGATTCTGAAATTCCTTAGTCCTCTTGCTAAGTCCTTATCTTTATTTTAATCCTGCCAGTCTGCTGGTCTATACAGTAGGTTGTTTATATCTAGCAACTGTTTAACTCATTTCAGAGCCTTTGCCATTGCAGCTCGAGTTGATGCCTGTTTTGAACTTCTGGTTTCCTGACTCATTTATCACTGCTAAGCCAGTAGGTGTAACCAGAATACGTTACTGCCCCATCCATCGCTGTGTATCTTCATCTATGACTGTTTAATAATTGATGCAAAACTCATGAATCATCCACATTCCAGTTTCAAGATACTGAAACTTCTGATACAAATTCTCCTGTGTTCGCATCATGCTCTTCGGTAGAGCAGTTAAAACGGGAAAACTGGGCTGCTCAAGGCAAAATGATTTTATAGAAATAGGATGTGGCGAGAAGAATAAACTAGAGGACTTACACTTCATCTGAAATCATGGTCAACAGAAATCAACTCATCAAATTCAACATGATTTTGGTTTTTAAATGACCAGTTCATATGACACAATTTTATTCAATGCCCAGCCTTTC